ATTAGAATGATTTCTGAAGGATCATGTGACACTGAAGACTGGAGTAATGATGCTGGAAATTCAGCTTTGCCATAAAAATATGCCACAATATTATGTTTTAAATGTATTTTTGATTGGTGAGCAGAAGAGGCTTCTTTCAAATACACTAAAAATCTTACATACTCTAAACTTCTGAACCTGTATGCATGTATATTTGACAATATGACATTGTATGCATGTATATTTTTCATTTCTAGATGTTTGATATGAGATATTTAGCAGATATAAGGTTATAATGGGGTTCATTCTCGGTCTTTCGTAACAGCTTTATTATGATTGCGTGGCCCAGTGCAAAAAGAAACAGGCTCACACCACGAGCAGTTCACTAGAAAGCCATCAAGACTTTGTGCTGGAGTGCGTGATCTGGACAATTCTTCCTTCGGTTCTCTGCCAACGTCAACTGGAAACCTGGACACGTCTCAACAATAAGTCATGAAAGGACTTTTCAAAAACAGAAGGAAAATTTTATTAAACTAGAAAAGGTCTACAATAAATTAGGGCTCATTGCGTTCCTCAAAAGAGGAAAGAAATGTTATGGGTCACGCAACTGAGCCTGCTGTTAAACAGTCAGTGGAAATTGATGGTGCTAACAAAACGAATATTGACTTTCCATCGAATGAACACAATGGTAAAGTAATAATAGTGTCTATGCTGGCTCCTTTATTTAATCTTGGTTTAAGAAAATGCTAATTGTTTCAATGCAAGAACCAGCTTATATTAATTCAAATGTACTCAAGTGGGCCTAGTAATGAGAGAAAGCACGCAGTCAGTGATGTCCCAGAACCCCTCAGAGAACCGGAACCACATCGCCATCTAGAGGCTGCGCCACAGAACAACACAAACAGCTGCTGGTTCATTTATGAAGGACGAGAGAATGTCTTTCTCCACAATAGGTTTTAAAAAGTGTTATTTGTCATTTAACGCAACGCTAGACCCAAACTGTATATAAAAGTAATGCATACAGTACTATGCTAGAAGATGGTCACTGAAATGCAAACTAACAATTGTCAATATTACAGTAGGTGCATAGACATTATATTTTATACACATACATATAACTTTGGTGATTATATGGTGTATTTTTAATGGCTGTAAGGTTGTTGCCCTGTAATTGGGTGGTGGTTCATGATAAAAAAAAAATAAATAAATGTATAATAAAAATATCTTAAAATCCACAGGAGTACCAGAGTATTATTTGAAATGTTTTTATTAATTTATAATACAAGATTTAGGGATTTTTTATTTTACATTTAATAATTTGTAGCTAATTTTCATAGCAGTGACAATGATAAACACTCTTGTAGTAATTGGCCAATCAAAACCAGATTGGAGAATTTCTGTGGACACTCTTCCCACAACAACTGCACTCTTTCCAAACAAAAGCCTCTTCCACTCACTCACTCACACACACACAACTAACATGAGTCAGCCATCTGATGTGTACTAATAAAAACTCAACCGTACTCGGACAAGATAAAAAGGACTCCATTATTAATAATATTAATTTTCCACAATCAAAAGCCAAACAAAACAGACAGCATACAAACATTAGGAAACACTAATTTTTTTCTTTCTTCCGGCCCAGTGGGAGGCCATTAGTGGTGGCCATTCCCGGCGCACATCTTTACCTCTAACGCTGCAGCGCAGCAGGGGGTCCATGAATCCATAGCGCTTATAATGGGGGCTTTTACCAGCCCAGCCCTTCGCTCCAGACAGAGGCTTTCTGATGATTTCCTTATTCTTCGCACCTGGGCTTTGTCCCTCAGGACGCACGTTAGAAGAGCATGGGAGAGGATACGGATGATATATCCTGACTGGGCAAGAAGAATAGTTTGCGTCATTTCACATCAAGAACAAAATCACCAACCTTCCCTCATGCTTCTTCAGCGGAGACGAGGAAAATTCAAGCAGACACGGGGTGAATGGTTTTTAAAGGCGGCTGGTACACACCCAGGGCGAGGAAACACTAGACTAGGGTCATGCACAGATGTCAACGCAACTGATCAGTAAGAGGAGTCTGGCGACTTTGAGATCTACTCTCGATTGTTCCTAGGACAAAGGCAAGAAATGTAGGCGGCCATGGCACATCAAATCCACCAGCGCTACAGCAGACTCCCTCGGTCCACAGCAACAGACTGGAGCTTGTGTCATCACACCTCTCTCTCTCCGTAAGCTCCTTCTGTTTGAGGCAGGCGGAAGGATTAAGACTACAACATACACATAGTGACTTCAGATAAGGATCCGTGTTAAGTGCAATCAAAAGTCTGGGATTATGACGCATGTTAAGCTTCGTCTGAGTCAGACGTGTGATCCAAGTGAAAACTCTGACACTTGGGTGTTGTGAAAGCAGAAGGTCTCGAGTACAGGACATCCCCCTAAAAACCTGTTCACACATCCGTTTACATAATTTCCTTTCAATTATTCAGGTATTTCATATTTGCACAGTTTAATATTTTCAGGAGGCCTGGAAACAAACGGCCACTTCACTAAGCAAGTAAATTTGGCAAACAAACGAAACGAGAAAACCGAACGAAGGCAAACATGAGATTTGATCAACTTGGCACAAGAGAGTCTCCAGCTACTATACAGAGCAAAAACACTGAACGAAAACCTAGTCGCACTCGCCCTGGAGCTCTTCTGTAATCATCCAGAATGCACCACGGGTTGGTGAGCAGAAGGACGAGGAGGAGGTGGGGGAAGGTTTGTCTGGGTTTTACAGCAGTAGACAGCAGCTGCTCTCTGTAGTCTTCTCCCTGTTCCTCTGGCCTACGAGAAGAGAACAAACATTGAGTGACACCTAATAAATCAAAGACAAAACCACAATCACGGGTCCTTGTCTTCAGTGAGAAGAATGCGAGGGAAAGGCAGTACACAAATAGCATGTCATTTAAGTTTTCTTCCTTGAATGACATGCTATGTGTAACTAGCCTGTAATTAATGAGGGGTGGCAATAGAGTCAACATGAAACCCCATTCAGAGCACATTTGCTTCTGTAATTTGAGGCATATCAGTGTAAAAGAGAATATTGAATGAGACATGCAATTCAGGACTATATTTTATCCATCAGGAATGGACTGGATCCTGAAAAGTGGGCATTCTATACTAATCAGGCTCAAGTTTACACTTGAAAACATTTTGATTTCAATGATAAAGCTTCTTTGTTATTATTGTGGTCATCCGGTTTAACACATTTTTTAGAAAGCTGCATTTCCTACTACAGAAGTCTGAAGCAATGCTTCAATAGCTATTTGTCTATTGGTTAACATGTGTCAACAGTAACCAATAGTACCACACAGCCAAGGTGACATCAGCTGTAAAGAATTAGTAAGTCATTTCTAAGCTGGAGTAAGTTGAAAGATCACAATGACAAACCCAAGGACCAAGGACAAGGACATACACTACAGTTCAAAGGTTTGAGCCAGCAAGATTTTATGGGGGGTTTTGAAATAAATAAATACTTTTTTCAGCAAGCACACACTCAAAAGTGACAGTTTAGACATTAATAATGTTACATTTATCAAAGAATCCTGAAAAAATCATGGTCTCTGCAAAATATGAATATTTATAGTTTCTGAGCAGCATATTAGAATGATTTCTGAAGGATCATGAGACACTGAAGACTGGAGTATTATACTATTACTATAATCATACTAAAAAGTAAAAAAAATAGCAATAAGGAAATATTTACTCCATACATCTATGACTCTCATCCTCAAGAGACTTCTACATTTATTTAATCAGTGTAAAAAAAATAAAAAGTTATAATTGTGAAATATTTTTACAATTTTAAATTGTTTTCTATTGAATCCTAATGTAATCTATTCCTGCAAAGGCAAAAGCTTAATTATCAGCAGCCATTACTCTAGTCTTCAGTGTCACATGAACCTTCAGAAATCATTCTAACATGCTGATTTGGTACTCAAAAACATTTATTATCAATATTGAAACCAGTTGTGATGCTTAATTTTTTTTGAGAAAACCATGATCGTTTAATAAACAAAGTTCAACAGAACAATTTATTTGAAAGACAAACATCTTCACATCAATGCACCCTTACTGAAAAAAACAATCATACTGACCATAAATTTATGAACAGCAGTGTGTACATTTTATAATGATTGTTCGCTCAAAAATAAACACTGCAAAACATACATTTTTTACATGCAGAGGACCTCAACATAAGTTTAAAACAAAAAAAGTGTGTTAAATAAAAATACACTACTTAAACTACAAATACAACCAAAGCTAAAATTATAATTATAATTCATACCTGCCGGCCAGTTCTCAAAAACATGCCGGGCAATTTCTGTGGATTATACTATTACTATAATCATACTAAAAAGTAAAAAAAATAGCAATAAGGAAATATTTACTCCATACATCTATGACTCTCATCCTCAAGAGACTTCTACATTTATTTAATCAGTGTAAAAAAAATAAATAAATAAAAAGTTATAATTGTGAAATATTTTTACAATTTTAAATTGTTTTCTATTGAATCCTAATGTAATCTATTCCTGCAAAGGCAAAAGCTTAATTATCAGCAGCCATTACTCTAGTCTTCAGTGTCACATGAACCTTCAGAAATCATTCTAACATGCTGATTTGGTACTCAAAAACATTTATCAATATTGAAACCAGTTGTGATGCTTAATTTTTTTTGAGAAAACCATGATCATTTAATAAACAAAGTTCAACAGAACATAATTTATTTGAAAGACAAACATCTTCACATCAATGCACCCTTACTGAAAAAAACAATCATACTGACCATAAATTTATGAACAGCAGTGTACATTTTATAATGATTGTTCGCTCAAAAATAAACACTGCAAAACATAAATTTTTTTTACATGCAGAGGACCTCAACATAAGTTTAAAACAAAAAAAGTGTGTTAAATAAAAATACACTACTTAAACTACAAATACAACCAAAGCTAAAATTATAATTATAATTCATACCTGCCGGCCAGTTCTCAAAAACATGCCGGGCAATTTCTGTGGCAGAGTCATTTGGAGAGAAAGTGAAATCCTGTGTCTTCCCACTCACAAGGATCAACCGTAGATTCACCTGTAGTCATTTGAAAGGAAACAAATGAAATCATTAAACTGAAGAAGTGCCATACAACCCACAGACACAGTGACATTTCCACCAAATAGACCTTAATGACCCTTCAATCTGTGCTCACCCCACATAACATGAGACGACCTGGAGAGTCCTTTGGAGAAACGAGCATTCCTTCCTAATTAAATTTATGTTCAGCTTTAGGGGTGAAAGTAGCTACTACGCACTTTAAAGCTTCCTGTGAAATGGTCTGGTGAGGGGGAAATCGCAGAGTAGGGCAGCGAGGAAGTGCTACTGCATTTCGTTTCCATGTAATGATGCTACCCCCCTTCCTAGGCACCCCGTCATCCTAATGCGATAACCCCAGGTGTCCCAGACAACCCAGGACGGAGTTATTAAATTTACATGGCCCATGCATAACCCCTTGCAGGAGGAGGGGAGCAGCACGGTGGATTAGCACAATAAATGTGCTCCCTGCATGGGTCCTAATAAAAAGCAACAGACAAACACAATGCTTTTACAGTCAGTATTAACACCACCACAAAGCTTTCTGCCACAGGCCAACACACGCTTCATGACAGTTTTCATACGTCTAAGAGATACATCATGCATTTACTGCCTCAACAAATAAGGATTATTTGATTTTTACTGCCAACATGTTCAACAGCTCCACCATTAAAAAGTATTCATAAACATTTTGGTATCAGAAAAATTTGTATATAATTAGTGTACAATAATAATGAATGCATTTATGTTTAAAAAAAAAATACTTTTTGTAGAATTTTTCTAATAATTATTATTATTGATAGTAGTAGTATTTTAATTATTTTATAATAATAATCTTTTTTTTTTTTAAATAACATCCATCCATCTAAATTGATTATTTCCAGGAAGAACAGCAACTACAATAATAAATTCATACATACACCTTTGCTGAAAAAAAATAACAGTGCCAAACCTTACTGATGGTTCCGACTATATTACAAATTATTCACACAATTTTGACAATCTCATCTATTTTAGCAAGATGGACAATTTTACTGTGGTTTCAAATTTAAATCAGTACAGTTTGCAACAATATTCAATATATTAGCAATAAACAAAATTTAGATTTGCAATAATGACACACATACTCAATTTAGGCAAATTAGGCAAGTGACTGAATACATTTGGCAGTATCCTCTTTGAAACTAAGCAGCATCATGAGACTCAATGTCTGAACAGAAAAGACACAGAGTGCTACTATGTCAGCCCAAAAATAAAATCAGACCAGGAACTCAGAGTAGCTTAGATTCCAAAGAGTCTCTTGTTCAGTTTTTTTTAAACCAGGGTCCTTTTTCTCCTTTCATGGTTTTCAATGACTGCAATTTAAACATTACATCACCCACACTCAGTGTGTGGAGCTTGGCTGGGCCTTAATGCTTTCGTTCAGAATCAGATGGAGAAAGAGGAGGGGGGCGCAAGAAGGTGAGCCAGTTGGTCCTGGCATTGCTGTGTTTAAAGCCACATACAACACAGAGCACAAAAACAAAGGAAAACAAGCTTCACGTAGACACTGCAACCAATCAGAGGACCAGAGAAACTTTCAACATGTTTCTGAGAAAGTGGAAGTGAAAAAAGACACACAGTTCCTCTCAGTTTCCTCTTAAAATGTGTATGGAAAACTGCTTATATTAGTATTGAGTTATTCAGATCGTGTCAAACATGCTAAATGGTAATATAAACATTATGCGGATCCAGCTCATCATCTCGCGATAGGGGAGCCAGAGTTTACCTTCCACCCAACAGTGAACGCAGCCGAGGTCATGACCCAAATAGTGGCAGCAATCAAATAACACGACAGGAAAAGGACGACCTCTTCCCGCCACAAATCCTCTCGCAACACGTGCCACCTAAATCCTTACTAAGGGCCCCCCGATGCTCTGCCCTAACCTATTGTGAAATCAGGCTTCTGTGCTGAGGGTATTTGCAATGTAGGGCACCCCACCCCCATTCAGGCACACTTGAAAATATTCAGCTTTCACCTATGGGGAGTTGAGGACCTGCAATGAGAACAAAAGAGGTCAAACCATAATCCACCACGTCATTCCAGCACACTGTTTACAAACAACAAGCCCCCGATAAAGGCATGGAAAGCCCTCTCCCAGCCTCCTAGGGTGGATTTAAGGGTGTTATCAGCAAATCTGTGACGGGTCGGGTAATATCGACAAGAGAGCATAACAAACAAATAAGCACTCCCTGCTGCCCCAGTTCTTAAAGCCTTGACAAATACAAAACACCAAAGCTGCCTAAATGCCTCAGAACCAGTGCATAAACACCGCCATAATCTCACAGCTTATATATTTTCTGCAATATCTTTATTCATGTTGCTTTCATCCCCAAATCAAGAGCCTAAAATCATCACTATTTGCCCCCATCCTCAAATAACGGCAAACCCAATGCTGAACCAAACAGGTTCAGCAAACAACAACAAATCTCAAAGCAACAACAGCTCTGAGTGCAACATAAAAGCGTCGTTTTATAACCTCAGCCAATAATAAAAAGTTCAGATTTTCAACTTCTCTAATGTAAACCCATAGTAGCACTAACAAGAACAGGTCATTTTAGTATTATTTCCATACTATTAAATTAATTTCAGTATTTCTTTTATATTTTGAATTGGCTTTTATTTTTAATATTAAATATTTCTATTTTGCATCGCTACTTTGCATTTTTTTTTATATACTTATTTTTTACTTAATTTCACATTCAGTTTGAGTAATTTGTAGGTTTTTCATCTAATGTTTATTTCAATAAACAACAACATTTTCCCCCATAGTTTTAGTTTTTTGTTAACAAAAATAAAACTAAGTTTAATCATTTTGGGCCTAAACTTTGGCCTGTTTCATAGCCACAAAAAGGCAATGATGTCTCCCCGTAAATGCAGATTAAAGGGAAAGTTCACCCTAAATTGAAAACCGTCATCATCTGTTCACCCTCAGTTTGTATAAAACATGCAGGATGTAAACAAAAACTGGGGCAGAAACTTTTCAGTGAATAATGATGCAAATGTCAGTCTTTTCATCAAATAAAGCTATCAAAGGCTTCAGGTGGTTTGAAAAATAGCGCTTGAATAATAGACCACTTTGTCTTTTTCAGAGCTTAACAATGATTGCCACTATCCCCTTTCATAGCATGGAAAAGAGCATCATGGACATTGTGCTAAACCCCTCCTTTTGCACACCACAGAAAAAATAATGAAAATCAAACCTGTTTTGAGGATTGGCAGATGATGACAATGCTCATTCATCAGATTTGAATGCGCTCTAAAAGTGATGACACTTGATGATTTCTCATATAATCTTTGTATGTCTGAAAATACCAACTTGTGCCATGATGCATCATGTAAAGAGAGATCTAGACTGATATACTCACTGTGTCAGGGTCTCTCTGAGAGGTCATGGCTGTGATCAGAGGTGGAAGGCAGCCAGGAATCGATGGGTGACCAGCAGTAAGTGGGGAGCACAACCCCTGGCACAAAGACTCAGTATACGTCTTCTCCCTCTGGCCTTTCTCTGCCTCGCACAGCCTAACACCAAGTCAATCATTCACAACATGCCACACAGATTTGTTTACCACACACAGTCCAGTGGTCAACAATGCATTAACACTACATAATTACCAGTTTAGGTGAGAGACTTTACTAAGAGAAATGGTGTAGTATTACAACATACAGAAGGTGAGATGACAAGACATTCCTATAAACACTGATTCACAACATCCTGGTGAATGTCTTGCAAGTTGGTTAACTGCTATGTGGTAAACTGCAGTACAAGTGATCAAATCAATGCATTGATGAAAGGATATGCAGCCTTTATGAACAATACACTCTATATGGCTAATAAACAAACAAACAGACAGACTGAGTGAGTGTAGATAGGCAATATGTAGGGAATGGAAAGAAGAAGAAAAACATCACATACCTTTGCTCTACTTGACTTCAAGCCAAACTAGTGTTTGTGTTACTGGAACAGCATTATATATCAGCTTGAGACCGACTCTGTGTTAGAAATCCAGATCTGCCTGCAAATCAGACACCAAACCAGGATGAGCTCGACTGTTCCTCAGGAAAAAATACAAACGAGTCCAAAATCAAAGAAGCATCAAAACGATGACACACACATACCATCAAACAAGAGATGTGTTTAGTTTATGAGGTGAGAGATGTGAAAGGCTGTAGGAGCAGAAAGCAGTGCGCGCGACCGCTGGCCTTGAGCTGGAATAATTTCTGACTGCGGCAAAATAAAGAGGAACTAAAACGACCGTTTTGCTCGAGTCGCAGGCGGCTATCAGATCCAGAGCTGGTCGTTTGATGGTCCAGGGCTTTTCTCGAACATTAACTGGTGGGTATAGCCATCGTTCAATCAGATCAGAGTAGCTAAATTCACTCGCAGCGTTCGAACAGATTAATGGCAGAGAATTTAAAGACACCGGAAGTCAGCTGGCCATATATGCAGGAAATGGCGCCAAAGGCTTTCTGGGACTTGTAGTTTTGACGCAATTCTCCATTTTGATCGCACCTTGCAGAATGGCAGTCATTTCATAGGCCGTGTGACGGAATGTGGGGTTGTTTGTTTTTCTTTTTCTAAACTTGGTCGTAAATGTAAAATACTTAAAAACATAAATGTTTCAACTCCCTCATGTCAATTGGTTAAACATCTTAAAATGTAGGATGATAAATACAGTTTTTATTGGAATATCTCTTCCATATGAAAATTCTTATGGAATTTAATTCTGTTTTTACAGACCCTCAATTAAAAAATCATTTTAAAAGAAATCTATGCACAGTTGAATGACAATACTTGGTATATTTATTTGATAACAGCATATCACATAATAAAGGCACATTAAGTAGGCTATTTACATAGAAAAGCTGAAGTGTGTAATTTGTTTGAATGTTAACATACTTTCTTCTATCTCATCTTAACACGCAGAGAAAACTAAAAGTGAGCCATTTATATTCTGATTTACTCAAAAAGTGTAAATAGCGCCGATCCATGATTAAGCATCCAATCCAGCAACCAGTGGTGTGAGTTTGGGGTGGGACTATCTGGGAGCATTTTATGAAAACCATAACTATTTTTGCAATTTCATTAGCTGACATCGGTGGCACAGAAATTTCACACTTCAACTTTAAAGAGCAAATATATACACGAATATTAAACAATGTCTTATAACACAGTAAACAGTAATGCCTGTTATATTACAGTAGCAATACATATCAATAGAGCATGATGCCAATCCGGAAGCTTGTTAAGCAAGTTATTTTTTTTTTTATATATATTTAGGTATTATGTGGTAACTAAGCTTCCATTTATTAACATTAGTTAACTAAATTAACATATACTAATATTGACATTTGTTCCTTTAATATTATATAAAGAACCTGTGCTAACAAGTAACGTAAACCACAGACCTTAATTTACTCATAAATTAAAAAATCCAGAATTAATTGCAGAGGGAATACATGCCTTTAAAACTCTTTTCCAGGTTTTAGGACTTCAATCTGAACAGCTCTATACCTCTGAAAGAGTGAAAAAAGCTAGTCACAGCATCAAGCCATGTAAAGCCATCACTTCTGAGGAAATGTAGACTACAGTAATACTCATAAGGGTCTGTATAAGAGAAGGCAGTGTCTGTTCAAAGTTAATAGTACTGACTCATAACTCAACTTTGTAACAGATATGATTTTCAATAAACTGGAAGAAACAGTTCCAGCTCACCTACACAGCAGCATTGTGTAAACATTAATGGCAAAACAGGCTGTAAAGTCACGATATTTGCAGAAAATGGTAATGACTCTTGAAAAATATACTGTACAAACAATTCTGTTTAGTGTAAAGAGCCATACATTGCTCTGTTCATGTCAATAACATATACCATATCCCAGCAGCAAATGGAAAAAGCCACCAAAGTCACAAAGCTCCATAATCTCTACATTCAGATCTACTTTTGCTTAAAGAAAAAAGCATTTACATCGCAATGTTTTTACAAAAAACATTATGACAACAGCATAAACTGTGCATGAAAAATAAGAGCACTTAAGATGCTGATGCTCAAAATGAAAAATTATTAATTTTGTCACGTAAGTAAAAAACATAGACCCCTTTCTAGAAATAGATAAGGTCATTTCTGTTTTTGCTATTAAGCACATTTAAGACAAAGCTTCCTGTTTTACATCCAAAATATGTACAGCTCAATAGAGAAAACTCTGCTGAAATGTATTGTTCTTTCTAAATGTGTAAAACATATTACAGTGACAACAATAAATACATTTTCCTCCTACGTGTACATAAATGCATCAATACATTTACAAAAATATACAAGAACATACTTTTACAAATAGAAAACTACTGACAAAATCCAAGGCCGTTTTTAAAATATTCTTCATGCATCACTTTTTCCAATCATATCAAGTTTAGAAAATTAAGTACTACAAGGATGTTTTGAGTTCAAAACAATAATGCACATGTTATTTTACACGCTCTCAATTCTCTCTGGTCTAGTAAAAATATTCTGGGTTTGTTCACACTGCACTCAAATCTAATTTGGTCTTTAAATGTGAATTTTCTGACTGTGCTCACTGTCATTTCGCAAAGGATGAATTCTGATCGGTTTGCCTACAGCAGAGGCTAGTCAATATCTACACTGGATACTATAGTAATGACATGAGATCCAGCATAACGGAAACACCTGTCAGGGTGGAAAGAGAGGAGAGAAAAGCATCAATGTTGCTTCTGTTCATGTCCACCTTGACATCTCACTGCAGTGCTGAACTCATGAGAGAACATCATTGTGCAATCAGTCACTTTTACTGCATAGCAAATGTGACAGTGTGCTATACGAGTAAATGTAGACATGAAGGACGTTGCACAAAGATTGCATCATAAATGATTTTTTTTAAAAACTTGAGTTGGGTACGCCCAATGAGATTTTTGCTGCCTGTCTAAACAAAGCCTTTGAATAACATATTCCCATTCATTGTGAGAGGAAGGAGTCACCCTAAATGACCACCCACATGCAGACACCCTGCCCCATCTCTGAAAACAACATGTGCATACAAAGTACATGTAGGACTAGACCGAATTCTTTTCATAATGAAGCCTAGACATACATAAGTAACACTGTTACAGTACCATCATTTACTGACACAAGGTAAACAATTAGCAAGAAATACACAGTTTACCTACTGAATAAAAAACATTTTTTGTCAGTTTTCGATGCAGACTTTAGAAGAATTATAAGGTGCATTATAAAGTGAAATGGCAGCATTTTACAAAACCGGTTGTTACCAATCCAGTTCTTCTTAATATGTGTCATCTTCAGGCAGGTAGATTGGTTTCTTTGCTTGAAGGATGGGCTCAAATTTTTCTGGGGAATTGTTTTTACCCTGAGAGCTGTGCCTTATTCCATATGCAAAATAGATAATAAAACCTAAAAGAGACAAAGGCATGAAGTCAAAATTTAAAGCACAGTAATACAAAAACCATTCATGATAGCGTATAATTACACTACTGTACAAATGTTTGGGGTTGGTGTGATTTTTTATGCTTATACCAAAACTGATCAAAAATACAATAATAACTGTAATATCATGAAATATTATTACAATTTAAAATAACTGTTTTCTATATGAATATATTTTAAAATGTAATTTATTTCTTAGATGCAAAGCTGAATTTTCAGCCTCACCAGTGTTCAGTGTCACATGATTCTCCAGGAATCATTCAAATGTGCTGCTCAAGAATTTTTATGAATGCTGAAAACAGTTGTGCTTATTTCAAATGCTATAACTCACCAATAACCATCCATATGGCGAAACGAACCCATGTAGGTCCATCCAATTGCATCATGAGGTAAATATTCACAAAGATACTGACCAATGGCAGAATGGGGAGCAAAGGCACCTACAAAATGAAGAGAGAGGATTATTATAACCACCTAAAGATCTGACATTCTCAATTTAACAAAGCACAAGCTTTGTAAATTAAGTCTGTACCTTGAAAGTGAGAACCTCTTTACTCTGGGGCTGTCGCCAGATGATGAAGATGCAGAAAGAAGACAGAACAGACAGGAGAACAACCAAAGTGATATAAAGAGCGCTGCCCTTCCCCACCTGCTCTCCGTACACTGCCAGCACCACACACAGCAGAGTGAACAGCACAGCTGAACAGAAAAACAGAAGTATGTTATCTGCCTGTTCACTACATAAACACCAACATGAGCATTTTACATTTCCCTGAGCTACATGTTGCAGGAAAAAAGGCAAATAAGAAACTGGAATTGGAAATGCTTACATATGGTGCAAGTTACAGCGTAAACAATGATGCCAGAAATCTTGGTGGGTACGTCACAGATGGGCTGCACCAGCATCCTGATGGAAAACCTCTCCTTGAGGGGCGTTGTCTCCAGCTCCTGGCTGTACTCATCCCCGCTATCCACATCTGCCATGCCTCCTTTAGCCTCCAGCCTCTGCAGTTCCATTGGCTTCTCATTCGCACCACTGGAACCAAGACTGCCTGGCTGGTACCTGCAGGTGAAAAAAAAAAAAACCTCAATGAAACTGATTTTTAAAAGTATCAAATTCCAGATTTCTTTATGTTTTTGAAAGAAGTCTCTTATGCTCACCAAGGCTGCATTTATTTGATCAAATATACTGTAAAAACAGTTTACAATTACAATTTAAAATGACAGTTTTTTTATTTTAGTATACTTTAAAATGTAAGTTATTCTTGTGATGCAAAGCTGAATTTTCAGCATCATTTCTCCAGTCTTCAGTGTCACATGATCCTTCAGAAATCATTCTAATTTGCCGATTTGCTGCTCAAGAAACATTTCCTATTATCATCAGTGTTAACAACAGACGAGCTGCTTAATATTTTAAGTGAAATCGTGATACATTTAGGATTCTTTGATGAATAGAAAGTTTATTTGAAATAAACATCTTTTGTAACATTATAAATTACTGTCACTTTTGATCAATTTATTGCAACCCTGCTGAATAAAAGTATTAATTTCTTTCAAAAATCCCCAGACTCTTGAATGTTAGTGTATGTGTATATACTCACCGGAGAATGAGTACACACACAGCAACTAGAGTGTATGCCAGTAGGGTCCCAATTGACATCAAGTCCACTAATGCGGCGAGATCAAACAGAAAGGCCATCAGAGCTACAGGGAGGAAATTAGCGAGATTCTAGAGTTAGTCACAACTATTAAGAGAGTTACATCATCCACTGACAGTCATTACATGAATAAAAATACAGTCTTACCTGCTACAATGCCAGACACAATGGTGGCCAGCACAGGTGTCTTGGTTTTCTTGTGCATGCGGGAGAGGGAGCGAAAGAGCAGACCATCCTCAGCCATGGCATAAATCACACGAGGCATAGGGAACATGGAGCCCAACAAGCTGAAGAACATAAAAAAGAAAAAAAAAATGGTTACTATAAATAACTGAAATTGAAACCATACAAACCTTTTTAGTTAATTGAAATAAATATTAACTGAAAAAAAAGTACTTAAATAACAATATTAAAACTTTTTTAAAAATTACTAAAACTTTAACTTAAATGGACATGAAAGCAGATAATATAAAATAATCAAATTCAAAATATTAACACATCTATAATAGTATCTCGATAATACTAAAATAAGTTTATGAAAATGTCAATAAACATACCTGGTGGAAAGGGCGCACAGAGACCCCACCGCTACAATATAGCGAGCGGGGCCCCATTGCACATACTGAAAGGCCTCTGGAAGTGGACTTTGAACATCCAGCTTATAATAGGGCATCATGAGTGTGAGCGCTGCTGACACTCCGAAGTAGGCAAAAAAGCAGATGAGCAGAGAGGCCACTATGCCAATCGGGATGGAACGCATGGGGTTTTTGGCCTCCTCACCTAAGAAATCACCAGAGCTGAGGTGAGTTTGGTTCTAAAATGGTTACTATAAATAACTGAAATTGAAACCATACAAACCTTTTTAGTTAATTGAAATAAATATTAACTGAAAAAAAAGTACTTAAATAACAATATTAAAACGTTTTTAAAAATTACTAAAACTTTAACTTAAATGGACATGAAAGCAGATAATATAAAATAATCAAATTCAAAATATTAACACATCTATAATAGTATCTCGATAATACTAAAATAAGTTTATGAAAATGTCAATAAACATACCTGGTGGAAAGGGCGCACAGAGACCCCACCGCTACAATATAGCGAGCGGGGCCCCATTGCACATACTGAAAGGCCTCTGGAAGTGGACTTTGAACATCCAGCTTATAATAGGGCATCATGAGTGTGAGCGCTGCTGACACTCCGAAGTAGGCAAAAAAGCAGATGAGCAGAGAGGCCACTATGCCAATCGGGATGGAACGCATGGGGTTTTTGGCCTCCTCACCTACAACAACACCAGAGCTGAGGTGAGTTTGCTTTTAAAAGTAGGACATAGTGGTTTTCATGACATTTTTTTCCTGAACTTACTTGTGGTTGCGATGCAGTCAAAACCCACAAATGCATAGAAACAAGTAGCAGCGCCAGTTAGGATTCCACTCAAGCCAAATGGTGCAAAACCACCCGAGCCGAATTCTTTTTCAATTTTCCTAAAATGGGAACATTTTTTCAAACTTCAAAAATTTACAGTGAATTCATATATACATATATATGTGTGTACATATTTTTATAATTTTATTATTATTATATTATTATTATTTATTAATTTTCCTAAGATGTGAAAGTTTTCAAACTTCAAATTAACAATGAATAGACATTCATATATACATGTATGTGTGTACATATTTTTTTATTAGTAATGTTTTCTCGATTTATTAAATTTTTTCTTTTCTTTTTTTTTAATTAAAATGTAATCTTATTAATTTTTCTAAGATGTGCAAGTTTTGAAATTTACAATGAAAATACATTCATATGTACATGTTTTTTCCCCTTCATTTTTCATCTACATTTTACATCTTATTACATTTCATTAATTTAATATTTTTTGTTATTTAGTATATCTTTAAAATAAATGTAAATATGAGTTTTAATTTTATTTCATTTATTTACTTTTATGTAACTTTTCATTATCTAATTGTCATTTTAATCTTATCAAATCTATCTTTCTTGTAATTTAATTGTATAGCCTACCTGTAATCAGAAAATATGCTACTGACCCAACTGAGTGTTTCATTTATGCTCTAAAATTGTATTTTCTTAATTTCTATTGCTATGCCTGCATCTAAAAGTTAAGGCAGTGTGACTTACTCTGCATTGTAGTTGTTTGTGCTGTTAATGTAGTTCTCCACAGTGAGGTTCCAGTTGGCAGTGTCGCCTTTCACAAAGCCCGATATAATAACAAATGTCAGAACCACCAGGTTGATTCCTGTGAAGATCTTGTTGACAAGCGCAGATTCACTCGCTCCAAATGCCAATAATCCTGTTGCGTGGGAAGTGAGAGGTAGCAAATTCACACCATTATGGTCTTTTGCATGGCAATGGTGAAAAGAAATTGTGAGCAACAGTCCTATGACTAATGGGTATATTGGTAAAGCGGACCATTTAAAATGATTTAATTGCTTCAGCATAGCTGGTGTGGTAGAACCAAAGAACATTTTTGGCTCTCCAACAAAAGCCAGGTGTTGGATAAAAGGTGGAACAAAGATCCACCGACTTAATAGAATAATGGAAAATCTTGATTTTGGAAACACTTCGCGCCAACTAAGATAACTAAGGTAACTGGGCATCATCACATTACAGCTGAGGGATTCTTAGAGAGAAAAAGGTTCTCACCTGTGAGCAATATGACCAGGATGAGAGCAAACACATCTGGATACTCTGCTAACACTTTTCCAGTGTCTGGAAACGACATGTAATCAGTGAAAAAATCAGAGATGGTTTTGTTCACTAGATTGTCAAACGTTGAGCTCCAAGCCCGTGCCACACTGGCTGTGCCTGTGAAATGGAGAGAAGGACATATGAGTAGACCCAAAAGACTTCAGAACGTCCACTTGTTACGTTAAACCTAAGCAGCTGCTCAAGGGCACTTCGTCTAGAGGAGTAAACACTTCATACATTTTCAAAACCACTTCAGCTCATTTGTAATCTCATATAATTGGTCAAACTCTTGGGCTCGCATTCTGAGTTAACTCATGGGAGCTGACGATTAATTAGTCAATTTGGATTCAAAAAGGAAATGTTTTTCAGTCCAAATTAAAGTCACATTATTAAACTAGTTTCTAAGGATAAAGTCTGCATGCTCACCAATCACGTATGACAGAATGAGGTTCCATCCCGTGATGAAGGCCCATATTTCACCCACTGTTACGTAGCTGTACAGGTAAGCGGATCCCGTCTTGGGAACACGTGCGCCAAATTCGGCGTAGCACAAACCAGCGAGGACAGAAGACAAGGCCGCAATGAGGAAAGAAAGCACGATGGCAGGTCCAGCCTTCTCTCGGGCCACTTCCCCAGCCAGAACGTAGACACCTGCACCCAGTGTCGCCCCTACCCCGAGGGCTATGAGGTCAAGAGTGGTGAGACAGCGAGCGAAGCGGGTCTCGTCCTGAGAAGTGTCCAGCATGCGACGCCTCAGCAGCATCTTCCCAAAGGAGGCCAGTTTATTCTCAGCCATGATGGATAACGTTGAGCAGACTAGGATAAAGCAGAAGGCACTAAAGGAGAAGAGAAACAATTTTTTTTCTTAAAAAAGTGAGAAAATCCTGCCTTTTTGGCTAATTATGTCAATAAATGAGTGGCCTGATTGTCTTGACTTAAAATTGTGAACTCCTAAAGCCCGTCCATACTAAGAATAATAACTATTTGTGACCCTGGAACACAAAACCAGTCATAAGTAGCACAGATATATCTGTAGCAACAGCCAACAATACATTAAATGGGTATGGGTCAAAATTATCGATTTTTCTTTTATGCCAAAAATCATTAGGATATTAAGATATTATGAAGATACTTTGTAAATTTCCTACCGTAAATATCTCAAAACTTAATTTTTGATTAGTAATATGCATTGCTAAGAACTTCATTTGGACTACATTAAAGGCAATTTTCTCAATATTTACATTTTTTCTCACCCTCAGATTCCAGATTTTCAAATAGTTGTATCTCGGCCAAATATTGTCCTATCCTAACAAACCATACATCAATGGAAAGCTTACTTATTAAAAAAAAGACCCTTATGACTGGTTTTGTGGTCCACGATCACATATTAGCATCCATACCAACGTTCTGTTTAATTAATTGTGTGGCTTTAAATGCCCATTAAAAAAAAAAGCCATAATTTTACTTTTTACTTTACATAATTTTACTTTATTTGCATTATTTCTTTATTGCACAATGCACATTTCTTAATATTATGCCTAAAATGTGTTTTAATATCACTATTAATAAGGACTGTATGATCTCTGCAATAACATCAGTCTTTAATGCAAGATATTTAAAGTGCACCTGAAGCATACTTGCAGTAGTTCCACTTTAACACAATCCTATACTTCAGTATATCTTTAGTTGGACCTCAGCACTACTTCAACACAATTTTGTGGTGCATTAAGCACAAAAAATGTAGTTCCAAAATTAGCAGGTTTAGTATACCAAAAGTACGATTGCAGTTTTTTTTTATTAAGCACATAAATATGTAAACGTATTTGTAGTATACTCGGCCCAAATTAAATGTATTTCAAATACATTTGAGTATTTTTTTCTCTAGGGTTCTCAAGCTCTTTATTTTGATTGTTGGCTTTCAATGTTTTTATCACTCATCCGGAAACCGTTCTGAAAGTGATTCTGAAGATATAGTGCGGATGTCTTTATTCTCACAGAAAGATCATTAAAACTTTATAGTTATCATTCTTGGTGTGAACGGCTCTTTATTCAAGTCATTTCATGTAAAGGGCGGCTGTTATCCACCACACCCGCAGACACATTCAGAGCACTCACTTAGCACTTTAAGAACACCTCATCTGACCACAGGGCAGTTCAACCCATCAGGAAAATTAATAAGATTAATATCGAAGAGGTTTGCCCTTTCATTACTGAGTCATAATTCATGAAGTTCAACAGCTCCAAAGCCCAGATAAAGAGCACTGACATTGGTGTGGATGGAAACCAATTTCAGGCAAGACCAAACTGATTCATCACAATTCATTGGATAAATGAAAAAGAGCAGACCGGGTGAAATTGGGGGAAAAAAATAGCACACATCCTCTGAATGCAGATTGGTGGATATTTAACAAAAAGGTCAGACATGCTATTTGAATACAGAGTTTACATAATACAAATATTAATGGCTGATGTCGAACAGTGTAACCATTGCACACTTTTAGAGCACATGCAGGAAAGGGTTTCTTGTGTGGTTTCTGTCCAGCAGCTTGAGTAGTCATACATGTTTGATCAGATCCTGTCTAAGGCACTAACTAGATCAGCCTAGAAGTAAACCTGCACCTGCGTAGTCCGTACACGACTATATACCAGAAAAACACTGACCCTTAAGTATTTTTACTGCATTCTTAGTGTTCAAATCATATCCTCATACATAAAAATGAAACAAGGATGACTTTTTAAAGATAAAGCCTTATTGTCTACTGCTCAGTAAATGACCTCTCTTTCTGCATAATTCAATGACGTCACTACACGGAAAACATTTATTCCTTCCAGGGGTATTATATAAAACAATCAGCATTAAAATAAAAAGCTCACTAACTTTAGAACAAAGCACACGCAAAGTCTAGTCTATGAAAATGATGATTAAATCTGTTACACAGTGGATTGTTATTTTAAACACACTGATCATTATCAGTGAAACCAGTTAAAGCGCTGCCTCAGACACTGATATGACTGAATAAATGTTTGAATGTTTCAAGGATATATCATTCATTATGCTCCAGTTTATCAGTCTAGCACGTTAAATAACACTTCCTGTTAAAGGAAAGAGCCGTGTCAGTTGGTCATGCAGTAACTCAAGAGTTATTCTCTGAGCAATTGAACAAAGAAATAATTTCACGCAATAGGCCTAAACTAGGTAACTTAAACCGGTTCAGACAATGCAAATTCACAGGTCCAATGTCTATCATCTGGATATCTATCCTGGCACCTGCTTCACTCTACCGAGTGCTGGTTTGAAAATCAGAATAATATACTCTACATCTGAAGATGATCCCTCAAAGCAATTGCAGCCCACATTCTTGAAGTAACGTTGCCAAGAGGCATTCTTCTGAATATCAAAAACATAAACCTTTCTTTAGAGAGAAAGTTTTCCTGCTATATCTCTAGTTTACTATTCAAATGGAATGCACCAGTTACGACACACCTACATTTAGACAATGGAATTTCATTTTGACTTAATGAAACTACTCTTTAGCTCAGCATATGATGAGTGTCATTCAGTAGCCTGTTCAAGATGCTGTTGTTTCTGAGAAACACATGTCAAAGACCCACATGCATTGAGAAACACTCCAATGATGTGTCCAGTTTAGTATGATTTATTTAAACTCTTATCTAACTTTAAACCACGTTCAAATGAAGCTGTTCAAAACTGCCCCTGAAAATCTGCCTACATGATAACAGCATATTGACTTGTTTTGTCACTTGCAAAAATATATACATATGGGCATATATTAAAAGTATTATTATGGTATAATTTTAATGTTTTGCTAATGTGATAATTACATTTAAATCAATCCGAGTTTGTGTAATTATTTATATACATATACTGAATAAATAAATAATAGAAATAATAAAGTAGCGCACATTTCACATCTAAAGGCACGCGCGCCATTTCTGCCACGAGGAAGAACGTAATAATGATAAACATACGGGATTTCCGCTTACGATAGAAAATCTAATTCAGATGGTTTAGTTAACGAATAATCGAAACGTCTCATATTTCAGATTAAGAATGGAGTCTCATATCTAGTAATCGTTAAAAGGTAGTTACCCTCTGTTGAGACGATGTACTGAAAATCCGGCGGGTTATCAGACGGACAGACGATGCGCGGCGTGCAGTGAGCAGTCTTGAGAACTGAGTTCCAGAGCAAGCCATGCAATAGAACACTCATCCGGAAACCCTTGTAAGGACAGGTCGTTTCCCCCTCGGGGTCGGGTTTTCAGACGTCAAGAACAAAGCCAATCGTAGTAGAACCATAGAACATGTTGCCACTGACAACATGATTTTCCCTGCATTTCTGAAATTCCTGCTCTGGCTGCATTTCATTAAACAAAGAACAGTGTCTTCGAGAGGAAAATGTAAAATATTAATCATCTCCTATGCTCTCAAAACAAACCATAAAGCATATTGTAAATTATATAGTCATTTATTAGGTAAAACCGGTGAGACACTTAAGGCAGACAATGTATTTGATTGAGTTAGATTTTATTAAACTGTCACATTTTTTTTTAAAGCATATAAAAATGCATAGAACTGCATTGAAATTTCAGAATGATAACTTTCCGCGTCACATCTCTTCTTTTCCCCTCTAATTAAGGGAGAGAGAGAGAATCAGTCAGAGGTGTACAATTCTACTTTTAATATTACTTGTAGAATATTGATATTCATCTGCACAATTAACTCAAACATATTAAGATTTAACATAACACATGCAAACAAAACCACTCAAATTTAAATAAGTTGCACAAAACAAAAACTCCCAGAAATGAATCGTGTAAAGACGTTGAATACCAACTTAAATTCTCTTCAGCTCCTCTACGCACATCTCAAGTTTTTCGTGCAATGGTCTCCAGTTTTTACACTCTATAGAAGATAAGGGTATGCGCAAAATGTAACAAAACCAAAACATTCTCTCATAATGAAATGAACAAAGAGGGTAAAGTTATTCGAGAAAAATACAAAACTTAGATACCTGAACGCAAACCAATTAGTTCTTGAATGACCCTCTCAAGTTTTTCTTGGTGTTGCAAGCAATTAACACAACCTGGGTGGGGATGGGGGGGGGGGGGG